CTAAGATGAACAACCTATATGAGATTTAATTCAAAGATAAAAAGGACTTGTCATTGCTACTTTCCACTTGTTGATATATTTTAGTCGATCATTGTTATATCTATAACTTATTCCCTCTCGAATACTCAATCAGGGAGTATATCCACTTCATCGAGGGTAGTTATTAACAACGACCGTTCATTAATAACCCTTACTATTAATCAAATATAGAACGCCTTATACCGATTTAATAGTAGCATTTAATCTTTCTAACTCCTTGATGAAATCAATTGAGATTGATAACCTCAACACAACGGTTTCGGTTTAACCAACAAAATTAATCCCTCTTAAGTTTATTAACCACGACCGTGCATTAATAAACCGAAGTTACTTACTTGTGAAACCATCAACGATTAACCATCGGTTCGTTGATCGTTTCTAGTAATAATTAATATATGAAACAAAACTAGTTGATCCTTTAAGTAATGTTCAAAATATTAATATGAAATATGAGTAGGGATTAATTAATATTCAAGGAAGAATATTATTAAAGAAGATGAATTCTACTATAATTAATATCAAGATGTTAACTAATTGTCATCTTAGCAACACTCCCCAACATTAATATAGAGGAAGAAAATACCATTCTAACTAATGTCGAGATGTTAACTAATTGTCATCTTAGCAACACTCCCTAACATTATTATAGAGATGGTATTAAGGAAAGAACTATTAATTAATATTCAAGGAAAGAAGTTAAGAAAATAACTCACAACTTTAACAATCAACAAGCTTCAAGAGCAACACCAAGAATGGAAGTTTAGCTCCTCATTTGAAGACTAAACATAACTAGGAAAAATATAAAGAAATGATATTCTAAACTGAGCTTAAGAGTATGGAAGAAGGGATGATTTTTTGTGAAGAAAAAGTGTGCTATTTATAGGTGTTTTTCAACACCTTTGGCCGGGTACCCGACCGGGTTTAGTGCTTACCCGACCGGGTACCGGTCAAAATCAGATTATCTCCCACGTTTTTGTGTTTCAGCACGTTAAAATGTCCCGGGTCAAGTCAGACCCGACCGGGTCAAGTAGGGGACCCGACCGGGTTTGACTAAAAAAATCAGATATTCTTTATTCGGGCGATCCTTGGCACGTTCTGGTGTTCCGGGTCACATCTGACCCGACCGGGTCAAGTAGGGGACCCGACCGGGTCTAGCTATTTCCTCAGGGATCTGGTTCTCAACTCAGACCCGACCGGATGTAGTGCATGACCCGACCGGGTTTGCGCTCGTGGCCATTTTTATCTTCAGTTTTTCTCCTTTTCCTTGCTAAAAACACTACTACTATTCTACAACTATAAATGAAAGCAAAGAACAATTACAAACATCATAAAACAAATGTTTACAAACTAACTAAAGATGAAAGAAAATCCACACAAAGTCAATACAAAAACATACATTTATGCACTATAAACTAGTGCATATCATTTACCATCTTCAAAAGGTTCAAGAACATGGATGAGAAACAAAGTGGAAAAATGATCAAGGTGCTCAGAACTGATGGTGGAGGAGAATATGTGACTAACGAGTTTAATTAGTTATGTGACCCGGAGGGTATAATACACGAAGTTCCAGCTCTATACACTCCACAAACACAATGGCACTGCCGAAAGAAGAAACATAATTGTGCTTAATATGGCAAGAAGTATGCTGAAAGCTAAGAATTTGCCTAATTGTTATTGGGCTGCAGCTATGACTATTGCAACTTATCTTCTGAATTTTTGCCCTACAAAGAGATTGAGTCTAGTCACAACGGAAGAAGATCGGTCAAGACAGAAACCTTCTGTGAAACATCTAAAGATTTTTGGGTCTGTGAGCTACAGACATGTACAAGATCAAAATAGGAGAAAACTCAGTGACAAGAGTCAAAAACTGATATTGGTTGGTTATGATCCTACAGGTGCATATAAACTCTATGATCCTGTTGAGAAGAAGAGTGTAATCAGTATAGATGTGATAATAGAAGAATCAAATGCTTGGATCTGGGATAATCAAAACAGTACCAGCATTGTGTTGTTTGCATTGATCAATTCAGAAGACGAAGAGGGGTTTAATGAAACACACTCAGAAAGTAACACCGAAAATAATAACCAAGATTCTGAAGACAATCAGATCTTGAGATCAGTGAGAAGCAACAGAGCACCAAGTAGATTGAATGATTATGAAGTATTCCTTGATAGTCTCATAAATGATGATGGTGAATTGGTTCACTGGGGTTTAATGAAACACTCAGAAAGTAACACTAACAATAATAACCAAGATTATGAAGACAATCAGAACTTGGGCTCGGACCCTATGGCCCACATACTCAAATTATCAATGCAAAGCCAATTGACGCGTGGCTGGCCCCCATCGGTCAGACAAAGCGGTCCACACAAAGCAACCCAGAAACTCTGGAAAAGAAGACCATGGTCTCTCAAATTGTGGTCCTCCGTCGGCTTGGTGCTCCATCGGTCTGGTCCCCCGTCGGCCAGTATTTCACCAATAGCTTGTATTTTTACTTAGCTTCATGAATTCACGTAATCAACCATTAGAGGCCTTATATTGTACTGGGCCTCTCAGACCCAAGACCTGGGAGCCCAATCCAAATTTCCTCTATAAATATTCCTCTTAGGGGTAGTTGTAGGAGGTTAAGAAATATTAATCACTACAACTTTCTCTCTCTAGCTCTCACTTCTGTCTAGATTAATACTCTATCATTTGATGCTTTCATTAAGAGTCGAACTCAAGACCTCCCGCTTACCAAATTGGTGCTCTAACCACCGGGAATGAATAAATAACGAAGAACAGACAAGGAACTGACCTTGAAGATTTGAAGAACTCGAAGAACACATACTTTATTTCTCTAGAAAATTCGGCAACAATTCGTTACTTCTCAAAAGCAAAGTGAGGGGGATGCTTCAGAAGGGGATATTTATAAAGACCCCCTCCAATGGTTTGTACATGTGGCACCTCACCAATGGACACACTAATGGTCACCTCCAAGCATGACCAATCAAACGCCAACCACTCCACTATGAAACCAGTTGCACCAACGCCGACCAAAGCGACCACAACATTCGAGCACACAATGGCCAAACATTTCATGGAACCACTTCGACTAGAAACCAAGGTGAGGTAAAACCTAAAGCCAGAGGCCCCTCGTACAAAACTCATCGATGATAACCTCTAGCCTGCGACCTTCGTTCAAGGATTCTCCCATAGGGTTGCATTGGTCAGGGATTGCTAGGATGTTCGATTCATGAGAAATTCGGGGATGTTGCCTCGGGCTAAGGCACTTTATTACTCTTTCACATCCAGCACACACTCTCGGTATGAAGGAGTGGGGGACTGGGGGACTATACATCGCCCAAAATTGGTAAAAGCCTCAAAATAAACAGACAAATTCAAAAGCAAAGCAAAGGACACACTTCGGCCTCTAATCAGTGACACGCGCCGGCCCGAAGAGAACAGATTCAAAAGCTACACTTCGGCCAAAACCCACACCACGGCCAAGCATGAAACCAAACAACTACACAACATCTACAACATACGGCTCTGTGTTGACCAAAAGGTCAACACATGAATATTCTACTCTCTTTCGCCTCGGGTACTCTCGACTCATATAGTGGGGGACTCGTGATAGAGTATATGAGCCAAAACCCTATGGCCCACATATTCAGAAGACTAATACAATGAAAACTGGCACTCACATGGTCCTCCATCGGCCAAACTCATCTGATCGCAGAAAGCAACTCATAAGCCCAGGAGCGGAAAGTTGTCCTCCATCGGCCAACGTAACTCCAATAGACTATCATTTTATACTTAGCATCGGAAATCAAGTAATCAGCCCATTAGAGGCCTTGTTTTGTATCGGGACTCCCAGACCCAAGTCCTGGGTGCCCAACCCACATTTTCCTCTATAAATACTTCCCTTGGGAGTAGTTGTAGATGATTGAGAAATATTAATTACAAGTTTCCTCTCTCTAGATCTCTATTATATCATTAGGAGATTTGATGGTCTAGGAGCTCGCCGCTTAGGGTTTCCCTAATGCTAGCTCTAGCTCTAATCTGCACCTTCTATCTTTTCGTATATTGAATTCTATTTGTAAGCATTAACTATATTTTTATCACGGCCGGTGGGAGCGAGAAGTTTGGGATATGTTTGGTGTTTCTTCCATCAATCATCCGATCAGCATAATACCTCAGAATGATAATTCGGGCAAAATTATGGCGGCACCGGGTTTGGACCGCAGGGAACCGTAGCATGGGGGTAGCGGAACTGGGTGGACGGTCTATCCGCAAGTAATTTCTATTCTTACTATTCAAAAAGAAGTAATTTCTATTCTTTTTTATGAAAAAATTAAATTTGCATAAATAAAACGGAGTAAAAGTGAGAACTTATTTATTTATAGGGATTTTATCAATCCGGGACCTGAAAGATAGACGAATTATCAATCCGGGACCTGAAAGATAGACGAACTATCAATCCGGGACCTGAAAGATGAAATATATCAGTATAGGACTCGAAAGATGAAAAACTATCAATCCAGGACCTAACATTTTATAGGTTTTGAATTATTTAATTTTTTATTAATTCCATTGCTAATATTTGGTGAAATTTTCTTCACAAAAGTTTATTAGTTTAATAAAACTAAATATTATTTAAAATTTTTAAAATAAAAACAATAATAAAATTTATGAAAACTTAGATCCTAAATTGATAGTTTTCAATCATTCGGATCTTAAATTTATAATTTTTCATCATTCTGATCATATACCTGTATATTTTATCTTAATTTATCGTTTATATCAGCAAAGGAGGGCCGTTCTTTTGGAATATAAAGAAAGACCTAGAAGCATTCCTCTCTTTCTTGACCAAACAGTTCTCGCCGATTACCTTTTTATCGCAGATCTCCCAAAGGCCTCGTTTGCTTTCCGCTCACGCATGGCGACCTTTGACGAAGCTCCTCCGGGAAATATCGCTGCCGGTGAGAAGATCTTCAAGCAGAAATGCGCCCAGTGTCACACCGTTGATAAAGGCGCTGGCCACAAGCAAGGTATATCCGTACACGCACATGTATGTGTGTGTGTTTGTGTGTATACATATGTATGTATGTATTCTATGTGCTATTTTCTGTGCGATGATTTTGATCTGTTTCGTGCGATCGCTATAAATATAACGACAATAGATCATGTACTGGGATGGATTTAGAGGGGCGTGGGGGCGACCGTCTTCCTTGGACTTTCATTTTTTTGCATTATATATGTAATATTTTCACAAAATTTTCATGCTCTAATCAGATATGTATGTGTTCACCCCCTTAGCTTTTGGTTTTAAAGATTAATGTATAGCACTACATAATGTAATACTTAATCGGATATTTAAAAGAAGAAACGTCTAAAATAATTTACATACTTAAGCAAATAAACTATAGAACAACTATGATTATTGTTTAAGACTTAGGATATTTATTATATAAAACTCCTACTTTTGTAATTTTTACTTATCTTTATTAGATAATTAATACTTTGTACAATACCAAATGGTGTTAACTACCAGACCCATTAGTTAAATAGGTTTTAGATCATGTGAGGTGAATCCAAAATATAAATTTCTATTGACATTGAATTACACAATTCATTTACTTGTTACGTTCTACAAATTAATTATTGCATATATAATAAACTTTAACTTATTTTAGCATTAATGCAAAATATAATATGCACCATATATGTGAATCAGCAATATTATATTGTTCTATAAATAATAATGTCATACATACTATTGCAATACAATAATCAATTCTTTATTGTGATAAAGATTCATGTGGTTAAACAAGGAAATAGTTATTTAAAAAGTATTGGTGGATGTGTACCTTTTAAACTCTTCATCTTCAAATAACTTTCCTTTGGTTTGCTATTTCTTACGATACTTTTTTCTAGAGCATTTCAATTATAAAATCAAAGTTATTTTTCCATTGTCTAAACTTAGAATTTAATAACTTTAAATGTCGTCGTGTATGTATTAATGAATTTTTTTTGAATAAAAACTAGCCGCAGAGCCCTATACAATAATCAATTCTTTATTGTGATAAAGATTCATGTGGTTAAACAAGGAAATAGTTATTTAAAAAGTATTGGTGGATGTTTACCTTTTAAACTCTTCATCTTCAAATAACTTTCCTTTGGTTTGCTATTTCTTACGATACTTTTTTCTAGAGCATTTCAATTATAAAATCAAAGTTATTTTTCCATTGTCTAAACTTAGAATTTAATAATTTTAAATGTCGTCGTCAAGGTTGTCAAAGGCGTAAAGCGCACCTGAAGCGCTAGGAGTCTTCCAGCGCTTGAGGCGCAAAGCGCAAAAAAGCGCTCGCCTGACTCGGGTGAAGCGCATTACTTATATAAAGTCACATATACTATTCTATAAATACCAAATACTATTTAGGATCTTTTTTGTTAACTAAGTAGTTGTGTTTCCAAGCTGGGTCATTTTTTGTAGAGTTTTCACTTTCAGCACCACCCACAGAACTTGTTCCACCTTCCATATCCTAGAAAAGATCAAAGCTGGAATGAGTACATATATCTTTAGTACATATATAATGGAATCAGTTTGTTAATTGATACATAAAGTTACTATATGGAATCAGTTTGATATATAAAGTTAAGAACATACATCTTTACTCTTTAGTACATTAGCACATATAACTTAAATATGTACATATATCTTTAGTAATTAGTACATATAAAGTTAAGATATATATCTATAGTACATATATAAAGTAATTAGTACTATATATGTATATTACAAGGCAGAGTACTATGACAGTATGAGTATTATATACATAGTAATATACTAAAAAATAAAAAAGCAGAGTACTATGACAGTATGAGTATTATATACAGTAATATACCTTGTTTACTGCTACGATGGAGAGCTGCGTATGCTTGAGATGATGAAGCTGAAAGAACCGGCTGGTGTAGAGCAGCTTGAGTATAGAGTGACGGAGTGAGGAAAGCGAGGAGAGCTGAAAGAACCGGCTGGTGCAGAGCAGCTTGAGTATAGCGGTTTTTACGTACTAACGGTACTATTAAGCTTAGTTTTACGTAGGTTACTTCAACCTATTGTTTTCATGGGCTGACGACTATTAAGATATGGGCTTTTTTTTTCAAAGTTTTAAACTAAAAAAGGGCTGTCAGCCTTTTCCGTTTAAGGCGACTGAGGCGCGCGCCTATAGCGCTTCCGCGCTTCGTGCGCTTCTAGCGCTTATGCTGCGCCTTGCCCAGGGTTGTGCGCTTCTACCTTACTCAGGCGCTGGGGGTCTGCCTCGCTGCGCTTTGTGCGCTTAAGCGCAGAAGCGAGCGCTTTTGACAACACTGGTCGTCGTGTATGTATTAATGAATTTTTTTTGAATAAAAACTAGCCGCAGAGCCCTATACTAGGAAAAAAATCGCCCAGCTACACTAAAGCAAAAAATATTCTCCGTGCTACACTAGCGAATATTTTTCACCCCGTACACCCATGAAAAAATTTCGCCCCCTTGACCAGAAATCCTGGATCCGTCCCTGATCATTTACATCTTTAAGTTGCGGCAGTCGGCTTTAAATGATTCTGCTTTTAGTTACGCCTGCGCTCCTGAGACTAAATCCTTACTACTTTTAATTTGATAGTATCCAACGTTGTGAAATACTCCTCCGTCCAGAAAAGGTTGGCCAAATTTGACTTTTAGGTGTATTATTAAAGAAAAAAACTGTGCGGCTGAAATTTGTGCAGAGGAGAGAGAATTAATTTTAGTCACATATTCTTTACTTTAAATGGAAATGTCAAATCTTTTTGGGACATCCAAAAAAGGAAGTTTTGACAACCTTTTCGGGACGGAGGGAGTATTTTATCTGTGATAAAACGCGAAGCTGAATATTACTACCTCTGTCCGAGTTTAAGTTTCTCCTTGAAAATGACATAGACAATAATTAAATAAGATAATTTGAGTATATTTTTAAAAGTAATTTTGATGGGTATATAACATAATGAGGTCATCAATATTTTTAATATTATTTTAAATATTTGATGATTAATTTTTATGGAGGAGTTATAAGAGTGCTAATTATTTTCTAAAATATAAATGGAAGCTTTAGCTCAGACATCCAAAAATGACAAGTGAGAAGCTTAAGCTGGGTCAGAGGGAGTTGCTTTTTATTTAGTCTTGGACACTTCTTAGTCATCCATTTGATCTGTTGTAGAAATCCATAATATTCCTCACATTTGTCACTGTGTAATCAAATCAGTATTATGCAAATGTAACAATTAAATTGATTGGTTAAGTGACTTCATATCTGTCAGAGTATGAGAAGTTTACCTTTGATTGTTGGTATATAACCAGAGTGGTGAAGTTTCAAAAGAAAGATGATTAAATTGAGAAGATGAGTTAGTGTTCATGAACTTTTTATTTTAGGATATTTTTCACCTGGTTGTTTGTTTGTACATAACACCTTTTATTTGCTCTGATGAAGTCTGTTTTTTTCTATGTTTCACTTGTTATTTTCAGTCTAGATTGACATGTAGTGTTTTTATATATATGGAAATCCATGGAACTCCTTGAGAACTTGGAATATCTTCTAACCACTGGGAATTGACAGGGCCCAATTTGAATGGACTATTCGGCAGACAATCTGGTACCACTCCTGGTTACTCTTACTCTGCTGCGAACAAGACCAAGGCTGTCTGCTGGGAAGAGAAAACGCTATATGATTACTTGCTCAACCCTAAGAAGGTGAGATTTATTGCACCACGATTTTGAATTCATCTTCATTTGAAATGTTTTGTGGATCATTCCCGAACTGTGTTGATTTGGAAATGTTCTTGAACTATGTGTGATCATACCTATTTGACTCCATACAAATTGGTATGAAGTTTTTCCAGCATTATCAACAGTTTTCTAAAAGCTTTGATTGAAGTGATCAAGTAATTGCTGTTGGAATTTCTTTTTGTATATAATTTGATCGTGTTTTGCATTCAATTGGCCTTCTTCATTTTTAATTTCCCATATGCATCTAAATATTACCAATTCAATCTTATCAATCCATTGATCCGATCATAGCACACCTAATTGCAACCACTGAACCAACTGTAATCTAGAAGTGGCACAGGGCTGTTGCACAAGTACACAACACTTATAGTATGCTATGTGGCCAACTGGAATACCTTGATTACCAATTCCTACGTTCATAATACTATTACTGCCATAGTGCCGTCAATATTAAACCTCCTCGACCCCACACTCACGAAAAATATTAATTGGGTAATCAGAATGCTAATTTCTTTTCCTTTTTGCATGGCAGTATATTCCTGGAACAAAGATGGTTTTCCCTGGATTGAAGAAACCTCAGGAACGCGCAGATCTCATAGCTTATCTGAAGGATTCAACTGCCTGAATTGCGTTTTGTAGCCAAAGGAGATTTTTTTTAGTAGTAATGGATGGATACACACCCGTTACTCCAGTTTCAAATTCTTTTGCCAATAATACCAACCATCATAAACTGTCTTTGTGACTTTATTCTTTCTCTGGTCTGGTATAAAACTATAAATACAGGCTAGCAGAAGATTGACTTTATCTACTGTATGACTTCTTAAAACTATATTTCAAGTTTTTTGCTACTTCAAATGCACTTCTTTTTCATTGCATCGGGGTAAAAATGCATATTTATGTTACATTGGATGCAGTTGTTTGCATCTTGTAAGCTAGCTGACTTAGAAAGTTCTCGCAAATTTTGAACTTAACATTTAAAAAAAAATTGTAACATTTTGTGTTGGTGAAGTACCACAGTCCAACCATCATAAACAGACAAACTGTCTTTGTGACTTTATTCTTCCTCTGGTCTGGTATAAATACAGGCTAGCAGAAGATTGACTTTATCTACTGTATGACTTCTTAAAACTCTATATTTCAAGTTTTTTGCTACTTCGAATGCACTTCTTTTTCATTGCATCGGGGTAAAAATGCATATTTATGTTACATTGGATGCAGTTGTTTGCATCTTGTAAGCTAGCTGACTTAGAAAGTTCTCGCAATTTTTGAACTTAACATTTTAAAAAAAATTGTAACATTTTGTGTTGGTGAAGTACCACAGTCCAGTCTCTATTCAGTAAACATGAATCAAATTCGTTGTTTGAAATGTTATAATCGGAACTCGGCTTCTTTGGACAAATTCTTTAAATTCTGACCTCCATAACTTAACATTTGGATGGAGGGGAATAGCTGATTGTTGGAAAGTAAGTTGCTATTACATCGATGTGTGGGAGACTGGGAGTTCTCTTCCCATACCAATATACCGTGAAGCGTTTACCTTTGATAAAAAAAATCCAATTGGGCTTTATTTTTATGGACATGTTAATACTAGGATGGACTGGGACGAATCGGACTGGCCTGGCCTGCTAGTGTATAAGCCAGTCCTGGCCCGGAGCTCGGCCTGGTGGCTATAAGGGCAGGCTTCGGGCTCGATTTTTTGGACCTGGTCTGGGCTCTGGCTTAAATGCACCATTTTTTTTAATTTATTGTCCAATCCCATCCGGAAGCCCGACCTGGTACTGTTTAGGCCAGGTCCGGCCCAGTCCAGTCTGATACAAATCGGGCCGGTACTGGGCCTGAAATCCTAAAGCCCGAGCCCACCCAGTCCTGGCCCGGAGCGCGGCCCCGTCCACCCCTAGTTAATACTATCCAATCCAATCGTGCAAACAAAGGGCTTGCCACTCCCGATGGCTAAAAAGGATATATCCATTACATTATGGTTGATAAGAACATTGCTACAAATAAATTACTCATAGTTAAGGTATACTAAATAATACTACGTACAAAGTATGTGCTTGAAGTAATTTAAATAAAAAACAACTCTTAACGGTTGAGTAATTCAAGCTGCTTATTTGAGTTAACCCAAATAACACATAAACACGGTACCCTTCCATACTGTGCCAAACACAAAGAACTGGCCATGGACGATAGACTAAAATCAAACGACGTTTTTATCACTATTGCAACGGCCTAAATGAACTGCAATTAGCAAGTGTCAAATCATCTATTTAGAAATCTTTCTCCAAAGCTTTGCAGATTCCAGCAACACATCGAGTAAATTGTGCAGCGAAGATCAACTCCATAAGATGCTGCAATTAGGCAACTACTCTTTCTCAACAGATAAATATGCATTAGTAGGTTACTAAGCTTGTCCAAATGAGCTTTCTTGGCTATTGCCCTCATTAGCTTCTTTCCTGTATGCGCGCAAGCTCTCTTTAAACCTCTTGCTCTCCTCAAAGTTCGCCTTCCCCTTCACAGCTTTCTGCAACAAAAAATACATACACTTTTTATTGGCTTTTTTCTTGCGAATTTAAAATAATTCGCAAGAACTTACTTCTTGTCTGAAGCATCTGTCGAGCTTTATCTTCAGATCAGTGCATTCTCCAAAGAACTTGCCAATAGGATGATCCAGATGACATTTTTGGAACTCCTCAATAATCTGATCATGGAAAAAGTCACATTGATGTGTGAATCATTTGTTGTACACCGCTTACGACAGTACCTATAATACTTCGTACAACCTTTGTCCTAGAAAAAGGAATCATGTTTGACCAACCCCCAAATTTTAAATTTTGATAGAATAATGGCATGTAAAGAGTTTCTTTTTAGCATCCCGTGCAGATTGGCGTCCCCATGAGACAAGTGTCTGGGGATGGATCCCACCACACGGGCGTATAGGAGGCAAGCCTTCCCTTGTCATTTTGACAAAGAGACGTCCCAAGACTTGAAGCCTGACCTCCCGACCACAAAACATCATTGTACCGGTGTGTCAAGGCTCCCCTTCAAGGAGAGTATTATGCCAATAGTAAGAAGTTCTTAAATTTATCCCCCCCCCCCCCTAATGGAAAGGAGAGGCTGGAAAATTTGAGGGTGATTTTAAGATAATTTTACCATTGCATTGATCTTCCCCTAGGCTCTCCATACCCGTATCACTGTCCATTGTAATAAGGTATAAATGTCATAAATTATGAATCATGTTTATATTTTGTAAAGCTCATTTGTTGATTTGCCTATAATTACCATGTGTAACTTATCTGTGACTTGTTAACAATTTTTTTGTAAGCTAAATGAAAAATTAGCCTTAGTAATCAGATTGTACTCTTTTTGGGACAAAAAGGTTAGAAACATGACTCTTTTGTTTAGATGGAGGGAATAGTGTTCTTTTGAATGAACTTACTTCTGCACACATTGCGTGCCGATGCAATGTTAGGGGAGGATGCATCTTTTCTGGAAGAAAATTCCCTATAGAGCATAACAAATAAAAACTAAAACTTTGTATGGTTTTAATATAATATCTCAAAACTCAAAAGTAACAAAATGGCATTCTAAGAACATAATTAAGTGTCAAAATTAAAAGCTAGTTATACGATCATCTCCAACCCTAATGCCAATCAATGTTTAGAATGACCCTTGCAAGCCCTGAGGCATTTTGCTTATGTGAGACAAGGTATAAGCTTCAAGGCAGTTTGAAGCATAAGCCTTAAGTTTATACAGAACTTCCTTTACAATTCAAAGGTACTATCAATCTAAAACCATCTTCCGAAATGATAGAATTTGAACCTGCATGGTTCACTAGATTTTGTTATGTCCATGCACCATTGTTTTCCTAAGACAAAAAAGGAGATGAATGAATGAATCACAGGTGAAGTTGAATTACTTGTGGTCACTTGGATTGAGAATACAATTTGATGTGAGTTTCACAATATTTGGGAGTAAAAAATTGATGTGAATAGGTGTCGAATCTGCAGAATTTCGGCACACTGCCAGCATATTGGTTGGTCATTAAGTTACAGTTTATTACAACTCCTTAATTTAGAAAATATTCATCGTTTAAATGAAAGAACAGATAAAGAACACCCTCTAACTCTCTAAGCTTGATCTATTCACTGCTGATAAGATAAAATAAGATAAGTAGGAACAAACAAAACAAGATGAGATAAAATAATGAAGACAGATAGTAATAATGGACTAACCTCAGGACTGCGTTCGACCTAAGGGGAAGAGATGGAAAAAGAGAGCAATATAGCGTACAACCTCTGGCTGAGAGATGAGCAGCACAAACTTATTCGTGTAACATGGAAACTGGCTAAATCAGTTTGTTCGTGTTAAATTTTGATCGGATCGGATGATTTATGTAAAATTATATTTAATACTCCCTCCGTCTCATAAAACTTGCCCAATGTTGATTTTCACGTAGATTAATAAAGTAAAAACTGTGTGGTTGATATTTGTGCAGAGGAGAGATAAATAATTTTAGCCACATATTTACTATGGGACGGAGGTAGTATATTTTTTTATTAATAAAATAAAGAAAATTATTTGAAAAAATAGCTTAAATGATCTTCTAAAGTAACTTCAGCCAATACAACATGAAAAATAACTCCAACCTTACTTTTTTCTTATTATTACACCATTCAGGCCGAAAAATCAAAAGTTGTGTATTTGGTGAAAAGTTGACTCATAAGTTAAAAAATAGGGTTACCAAACGGGCTCTTAATTTGACAGATTTTATATGGAGTATTGTATTTTAATACCCATTTCATAACATTGAAATCAGTTAAATGCGTTGAATCTATTGAAACAGGTGAACTTTTAACGATAAATAACGAAAGTATTGAAAGGAAAATATTATACGGAGTATTCAAAATATTTTTTAATGATAAATAACGAAAACATCTTATGAAAATAACTACAATGATGTTCTACATTAATTTCAACTAATTCAATTACAAAAATAACTTAAAACTCAGTTACATTGATTAATATATAATTTAGTGTGCAAAATCTCTTAATTTTATATCATAAATTAATCTAAACTGACTTATAAGACTGATAAGTTGACAATATTAGTTATGAAACAGGCTCTTTTCCCAAGGTAAATAGTCTCCAACCGTTGTCAACCGGGTAGTTACGATATTCGTGACATTAGGGGTGGAGAACGTCAATTGAGACGCCATAGTGGACAAGTAAGACGGAGAACCACCAAAATCCGGGGGTGAACTGTGCTGCAACGAGGAAGAAGGACCGATGTTAGGCTGCCCGCAAACGTAGAACCAGAAAACTAGAGCGAGCCACTAGTCATAGCCGGTTCCATGGACTGCGACGAGAAATGGGAAGATATCGACAACGTTGGTTGCCATGTAAATGACTCCGGCATCTGAAATAATGAATAGGATGAAACATGCGGGCTGTTGGAACTGAAGACGACATATATCAGAAGCGTAACTGGGATCGTAGTATGCTCTTGTATGAACGACGGCATAGGAAAACTGGCGAAGGAATGCTCCAGCTGAGAGATAGCGGGCGCCTGAGAAGATAGGACGGACGACGAGGCGACGGAGAGACTCGATTGGGTGGTACTTGTTGCGCACGACACGGAGAATTCTGCCGAGGAGGAAGTCGTCATGGCGGAAGTTTAGGGTTAGGGTTGTAGAACCATAGTAACTGATACCGTATGAGAATTATGAGGAAATGACTTACCCTTGAGGTAGCAGTAAGCATGTATATATAGATAACCAAGATTAAATAATTACAAGAGTATCCTTACATTATTATCTATTACGCTCTTTGCTTTTCTTTTGTTTTTTCCAGTGATAGCAGGTCTGGTTAGTGGATGTGTTGCATTTGACGGTCGCTTGAGCTTAGGCTCCAATTCGCTGTGGTTTTGCCTCGGTTC